AAAAGAGTTTGCAAACAGATGATCGAGTCCATGCTTATATAAAGTATTCTTCTAAAGATCTGAATTTGAAATGCATCAAAATTACATCAGTGACATTTTGGCACACTGAACACGATTCTTAATATATATATATATATATATATATATATATATTAAGAATCGTGGACACTTTCTCAGTTAAGCTAGAAAACTGAAATTGGCGTTCATCGTTTCAGATTCCTCCGATACCTAACAAAGTCCCGCTTGAAAAGTCACATACCTTTGATCCTTTTTTTCTGGTAACAAGCGGTTTGAACGAGTCACTTCCACAGAAATATTGTGTTTTAATTGCTACGTTTCGTGTGTCAAAATGCAAGTTTTACACAGCACTTTACGGGGGTCGGTTTACCCCACCTGTACCTGTCGGCAGCGGTGGCGGCGCCTTTGATGTGACGTGAAGGCTTTGTCTTAATCCGCTTCCAGGTTGTGCGCAAAGATAAGATCTTGTTGTTATCTGCCTTCATCTAGGACGACTAACAGCTGAACACTTGATCACAGTTACTGATATCACCGTGTCACGCTAGTTGAAAGATGAGCGGCAGTTACAATAATCGCTGTATATTTGGGCTGTAAGGCGTGGATTTTTTTTTTCTCATTCTTTCCAAAACCATGCGGTTCTCTTACCGTGTGGACCACATTCGGTATTTGAACTTGTGCTAGCTTTAGGTCTGCCCTTATTTACATCATTCATACACCTGTCTTATCACTGTTAATATATATATATATATATACAGTACATACTGTACTGTCAGGGGCGTATTTAGGCCGTCTTCTGGGTCTTCTGGAAGACGGTCAGATTTTCAAGTTTACATTGTCAGCCATCTAATGTTTTCTGTCGGAAGACGGTCAAAAATGGAAGATGGATCAACAAATTTGGAAGACTGTCAGAAAATATCTCTGGATCCGCCCCTGACTGTACTGTACTGGTACCAGTATACTCAGTAACAGGGGCACACTTGCCAGTATATTGCCCATGAAATTTTAAAATTCTTCTATCTTTGTCTATTCAATATCTCATCAGGCTTTTCTATGAGTCCATAATAAAAACATTTTCCCCATTTTACATGTAATAGTGCATTTTTATTCATTTTGTCTAATTTATCTTGCTGAATTAATTGTCTAAAACTGTGTAACTTTAGCAGTTCCAATCTCCTTTCTTAAATCATTTACCGGAATAAGGCTATTTAAACAGTTTATAACGGTTCAAAATTCATAGTACATTTGAATTAATAAAGTTGTATCACTGTATAAATTTCGGTGCATTCGAAGGAAAATGCGTTTCTACCATACAAAATTGTTACATGGTTGAATGAGATTCGATAAATCCTTGATTTGAAAAGCATCTATTGGATTATTCAAATAAAACGGCATCTGAAAACAATGAATCAAACGAAAAATATTTTGTAGGGAATACATAACAGCTTAAAGTGCAAGTCACTCCGAGACAGAAAACATTCCCTTGAAGCTTGTAACAGTTCTCGTCGCTCTTGTACCTTTTAATCATATGTTTCATCTAATCATTATTTTCCGTCTGGAATAGCCCACATTATTTTTGGCACGTATTCTTGAAATCTCAGCTTTACCTAAGTTCCTAAAAATCAATTCAGTTACTGTGTCTGACGCCCCCTACATCTCAACTGTACGCGTACGCCTTAGAAAAAAGCACTCAAAACAAATAAATATACTATAAATCGCATTATGAACGACATAATGTCATTTTACAAGTAGAAAATATAATGGTATTATTATTATTATTATTATTATTATTATTATTATTATTATTATTATTAAATTTGACACCCACAGGTTGGCAACCCTTTAAGACTCGGAACACAACTTTCAGTAAAAAAAGAAATAAAATATGCATAATTATAACTATAGTCAAACGTGCCATGTAGCAGAGGATTTGTAAATATTTGTCACAGTATCTACCCCTTAAATATGATAAAGCGTTGCCAATTGAATCTAGCATTTGGGAGTCTTATCATTTACCACGTACCCGCAAATACCCCTTTTCAAGTGGTAACATTTGGTTGATTGCATAATAAGCACTCACTCAAAGAGTTATGATAACTATGACTTAAGAGATTCATTGGATCTTATGTTATTATTTGTCTATCTATCTGTCTTCCTTTCTGTGCATGTTATTCTTAGAACTTAAAATCCTCAGCCGCGCACAGACAATATAATGCGTCTGCTATTACTATTAGGTCATATTGGCCCCATTCAGAATAGGGGACTAACTAGTTCGAGAGTCAAATATGGCGACCCACTACAAAGCTTTCTGTCTAATCCGCTAATAGACACTGAATAGATATCCCGTGGGGAAGTATTCAAGTGGGTCGGCCATATTTGACCCTCGGACTAGTTAGTCCCCTATTCTGAATGGGGCCTAAGGCATTAGGTTGATGGGGGCACGTATGTCTCTTGGATAGAGGCTATTCACCGGGCTAGCCTAGCGCATTCGCCGTTCAGGATGCTCTGGAGAGACATCGAAATATTGAGACGAAATCATCATCAAGGACAATTTTGGAACTGCATTAAAACAATTCAGCTAGTACATGTACACTGTAGTCTCAGCTCTTCTGTACTGTTGCTTGAGCATTTTGTACTAAGAACTTGACCCCCCCCCCCAAAAAAAAAAAAAAATGCTTGCTGAGTCCTCACTTTGAAGTATATTCCCTTCGTCCAAATACCATTTATTAATTATTGCTAATACATGTGCGGACAGCATCATGAATAATACACGTGTCCATCTCTCGAACCTGTACTTTGGTTCTCTACATAGTGCACGTTCCTTTGTGAAGCACGAGCATTAACGCCATCGTCAAAAATAAAAAAGACTGTTTTGTTTGATGCGGTATTTATAATCCCTCGTAGATCTGCTGGATTACAGTGTCGCAAAATATGTCCATAATATCCAGGCGTAAAAGTACATGTTTTAACATGTGCATTTTAAAAAAACACAGACATAATTTTACATTTAAGAGGCTACGCATCGGGACTTCATTTTGTCTTTGAACTTATATTTTCGTTTTAGATATCCTGTGGTAACATTTAAAAGCAAGGTATTTCGCGATTAAACTCTCTTCCCAAACCCGGATAAAAGTACGTTTTACGCGATGGCTCATAATTTTGTTACACTTGTGGAAAAGCTTAGATCTGCATTATCATCTATTAATACTTCCACGAATGTCTAACAACAAAACTTCAATAAACCACATAAAATATTTCGATAGTCTTAGATCTGTATTGAAAAAAAATAGTGAAAAAAATCCCGACGACATGTTAAAGCCTTAAAATATGAGTTTTTTTTCACTCTGTTAAAATACCCTTAATGCGAAGTGCGACTTAAAGGAATGCATGTAATCGTTACCTCGCTTGATATTGGTTTAAAGACTGCGCCATGTAAAACGTAAAACTCTTTATATATCCTCTTGATAAGAGGACGTCTGAGTCCACATCTGTATTTGTGTTATTGAAATAGATAATATTAGATGGTGTTTAGACCATCATGAGAAATTTTTACTACGAGATGAAAAGAATACAGACCTGACGATACATGATAATCAGTGACTATTTCCCTGTGCACCACATACATGAAATTCTGAACCTATTTCCCTGTGCACCACATACATGAAATTCTGAACCTCTGTAGAATAAATGAAAAAGCAATCAGAATTGAAAAGTAGAAAAAATGCAAAAAAAATATATATATATCCTTAGAAACATTTTGAAAAAGCAACATAAATAGATAAATAAATGACGATATACAGAGAGTAGGACGAAGTAAATAGAATTAAACTATTTCAAAAAAATTATATTGATATGAAGTTTGAACATTCCATCTGCCTTAATTAGCACGATCGCCAGCTGTGTGTGTGGTATCTACCTCATTAGCTTTACGGTCAGTTTTAGTTAGATTAAGTTAATACGTCCTTCCATGAATTGATTCATTCATGCTCGCTCTATTATACATCGCATCTTACATATCTAAATCCTCCGCCATTCACGAGAAAGCGAGACCGTGGTTTAATGATGCCTTTCTTTCTTATCTCGCGATCGACAATTACAAATTTGAGATCAGCGGCTGGCGATAGTTATTTTAATTTCCAGTGAAGTGGCATCGCTTAAATTGTTTCAACCACAGTCCCTTTGATTGTATCTATTAATACGGACCGACTTAAACCGTGCCCTGAATTGCACCGCAGACTATTAATTCGGGTCGATCATATCATGGTCTCTTTGATAGTATCTGTTAATTCTAGGCTTTGCTTGATTTGGTTATAATGGACTCATTGTTTTAACATCTGCACGTGTAACCTCGTGCCGAATCTAGATTTTCTGATATCACTCCGCAGTTTATGGTTTTAGTTGGAAATGAGGTAACGCGTCATGTCGCTTAATTAAGGTCTTTTTGGTACCAGGTAGCGTTGACATTCAGATGGCATGGCACAACTGTTGCTGTCGAGATCTGCTCCTTCTGTTAAGTGTTTTCATCTATGATCGTTTATACTCTTAACAATTTGTTAAAATTTTTTTTAATCATTTGTCTATTTTTATTTTTGACGTTATCATCTTCGTCGCATTTTTATCATAAAATGGCTATACAAACAGGATTTAGATCAGAGAAAAAAGACACGAAACAGACGATTGTTACTGTTTCTTTGTTTTCTAGAGGTATAATGCCACCACGTGCCAGTCTGAAAATGAAGACCGCTTTGTTTAACTCGACGTAAGATGAGTCAACAATTACATGCATTCCTTACATTTTTACTTCGCGAACGCAACCCAACGTTGGGCATTAATTAATTAAACAGAAAATACCACCATTTAAGGCAATGGCAATCATGTATACTGTCTCTGTATTTTGAATTTATATTTGAATTTTTCTTCCACGTATTTCTGTGTTAGAAGCTTAAAGACCTCATTTTAGCCAAAACAAATAAAACGCCTTTTTCTTCACAAAATAACATCTTTTTTTATTTACAAAGAAAAACGTGTGTAATACATTATTTACAGATCTTGTATATACAGGGTCCTTTGATGAATATTATACAAGAAATAATGGACCATTTTTAAATATATGCACAAAATGGGAAACTTTGCCTCAGGTACACGACAAAATCACGATCTCATAATAATCTCATTTAAGCTACTACATCTATCACGCTAATCAATCTAAATCACCCAAACAGGCACTATTCCTAACATACTGTTAACTAATAACATGGGAATCTGAGTTTCAATTTCAGGTACGTTTTAAATACAAGTCTATTTAACTAATACGAGCATTTACCGCTAAGCTATCGCTATTGCTAATTCTACAGCAACCGTTGCGTCTATACAGTAAGTAACCATCTATATAGCATTGCACACGGACATTGGCACTGGCGGACACTGAATGAGAACAGAACTGGCATAAATACAAACTCTAAACTACTTACATGCACTAGTGTTGCTACACTACATTTCACTACCATGGCACTACTGATATAATTGACTCTAAATGTGTTTTGATTGTAGAATTGTCACTGCTACTATTTTATATTTATTCTTTAGTTGATTGTAAGAATGAGAGTCATTGTGTTTCATTGTTTGAGAGCCAAGTAAAAATCGTGGAAAGAGGTGGTTGATTTTTTTTTTATCGTAGGCTACTATTGACTGTACATAGTAAGTGCTACGTATTCCAAATGCTATTGCAACTGTTACTGTAATCGCTAATTTCAAAATAAAATTCTGTTTAAATGCTACTTTACCTGTTTCCTCTACACTCAATGTCGTGCTATTATTGGAATTATAACACTTATTCTAATGAACGATGCTGCTACTGCTGCCGATGGTGTTAATGCAAGTGCAACCATTGTTACTGGCAATGGCATTTCAACTGTGTAGTACTGTTATCACCGGTAGTACTGTTATCACTGCTACTACTAATGTTAGGTCATCACAAAGTTATACTAGTATTACTGCTACTGCTGGTGCAAAAATTAAAAGTTAATGGTGCAACTAACACTAAACTCACTATACACGTTGGCAACGGGTTACATGGCTCAGGCCTAGTTAATATCAATCTAATGGACGGAAATCTAAAACGGTAGCGCACTCATGTGAAACACAGAGAACATTTAGCTTTCACTCTAGACCTAATCTTTTTCGACTTTTACGACATTTAAAAAAGGCTAGGATGTAACCTGTCACGTCAGTGATTGCCCCTAAATAGAATTAATGTGGCAATTAACACCCTTTTTTCTGCCTAAAATGTTCGAGAGTTACTGTATTAAGTTAGCTTATCTTTTAAACAAATTAGGTTTAGGAAGGCTATAAAGAACGAAACGACAGCGAAGGTCATATTTCCCCTTTCACAAAGGCCGCTGTCATATTCAAACATTCTATTTGTTCCAATATTTATATACAAAACTTATTAAGTATAAATATGTAATATTTTCAAATATTTACAATAAATTGACTAATTATTTTTTGACCCAACATGGCGTATTGCTCGTTTTAGGGGTAATAATAATTTTTTTAAAAAAATGCAGAAATGATAACAAAAATTGAAGTTAATATAGTTCTTAAATTACTTGATTCATCGATGACAGCTTGGCATCAATTGTCATGGCATAGTGACGTCATACTACAGTGGTATGATGACGTAACTTGATCTGTCTATAATTATCTCTCCGTTCACTCCATTGATTCCAAGGGCATGGTGGAATGGTTATAAAGCCCCTGCGCCATCAGTTGCAATGCCAGACCATTCCTCTTCCCTATACTCTTTTTCAGCTTGGCTCGCTTGTTCTGGAACCATATTTTGATTTGGGATTCGCTAAGGTTTAAGTCCTCCGACAGTTGTCGACGTCTCTGCTCCGTCAGGTAGCGATTGATTTCGAACTCCTGTCGCAGTCTTTGCAATTGTTCCGTAGAGAAGGCTGTTCTTGGTCTTTTTTCGGCTTCGGCGTCTTTTGTTTTTCGGATTTTTCTCGACCTTGGGCCTATGAAAACAGACATAAATACAATGAATATTTTTTTTATTTCATACGGATTTAACTTTAAATATCTACCGCTAAACATTCACTTAAGATTATCACCCTTGGTGGCATTAACGGTATAAATCATTGACATACAGATGTATAATATTTGAACAATAATAATAATACAGTTTTTTGGGTGTCAAAATTAAGATGAAAAAAATATTGAATATAAAAAAGAAAGAATTTTTCAGGGACCTTTGAGAATTCCCTGCATCACGTTTGTGACTTAAATGAGACATCAACTTTCACTTAACAGAAACTACTTAAACGGAGTTTGATGGTTTTTATACGAGAAAACCTAGGCAGTAATTGAAGGCGCGACAGGCCGTGTGTGAGCGGGGTTGCCGAAAATATTTAATGACTAGTCATAAATTTCGCTCTCAATTTTTTTTCGCGAAAATCTAACAATCCGCTCGGTAATATTTTGATCGCTTTTCGAGCAACCCACATATCTAACGCGCTTAAAAATTGGGTTTGGCTGTCCTTGATCTTGTTGCTATATTTTATTGCTTACAGTGCTTTAGTGTTAAATAGTAAAGATTTAAAATAATAGATTTAGAATATAGTTATAAAAATGAATGAAGCACAAACGGTAAATTTTTATTACTGACATTTCAAACCGTGAGAAAACAAGGGAATATAGATATATAACGCTAATAGTACAATACAAGCCATGTTTAAATAACGCGTCTTATTCTGCTTGATGTTTCGTGTTGAAATTAATAACAATAAATTATGCAAGACATCCATTATAGAAATATCTAACATATATAAAGACGTAGACGTAAATCGTTTTTGTTCCCTGTTTGTTTGCCTCTTTACTTGTACATTTTAAGTGTTTCCAAACCACATGCATTTTTGTTACTCTTGGATCATAACAGTAGTCATTTTAAATGAATCAAATTCAAATCACGGTTTCAGACTTTATCACACATTTCTTGATTGCATATGTAAGTTCCCACGGTTCGTTATTTCATTGGCCAAATACTTTAACCGAGTTACGGTTCTTACAATATAAAACTAGTTTTCCGCCAGTTTTTTTTTTTTTTTTCGTTCGTTTTCGTACTTTTCATGTCTCAAACAATTATAAACATGATTCTGTTATAAACTTACCGGCTGATGGCCTATCGGAGTAACGCGTGCAGAAAACCCAAGCTGGCCAAAGATTTTCTTGAGGCGTCTTAGTCCCTGTGTCTGGTAGTCGCGTGTCAGGAGAAGTGGCGGATTCCCTCAACGGCGACGTGGAAATACCGTCCAAACCGCCTTCCTGTTTCACGAAGGACGGATAAGAGTAAAACTGTGCCTTTTGCTCTCGCTTCGCCCCAAAGTCCGGTCGTAGAATGTCTCTTATGAAAAAACTTCTGCACGAGGATGTGGTAGACCCTACGGGCCTTTGCAGCGGAGGTGAGCCCCTGGCGTCCGAGAACGGGGTTTGGGAGCGTGAACTTAGGGAGGTGGGGCTCCGACAGCCGTCGTACCGCTCGCTCTCTAGAGACCCCTCGCTTCCATCGGAGGATAAACTCTGAGATCGAAATCGTTGCGAAGAGATCGCTAGTCTGTCTATTGAGAAAAGTGCCGACATAGTACGTGAGGATATGCCTCTCCTAGTATTATGAAATCCGCCGTCGTGCTTCGCCGCAAATGTTTCACTATTACCTTCAGTCTGAGTCCCAGCCTTATATACCAGTCCCCGTGCTAATGAACTGAATTAACGAGATCGTTTAGCACTCGGGTGATTAAAAGATAAGTGACTAGGGATCAAAAGATACGCATGCAAATTTTATGTGATCCACTTAACACTGTACGTATCATCTGATATAGCCCCGACGAACAGAACTGCCGAATGGACCAATCAAAAGGCGCGGATGTGACCCTTGCGTAACGTCACCAAGGTCGGGAGCCAATCATTGGTCAGGGTCAACTACGTTTTCATACTGCACGCGAGAAAAGTCGTTCTCGCGGGCCGGCGATTTATCAAGGCCGATGCCTCTTTGATCTTGGACATTAACCTTAAGAATGAGATTGTGCCGTTATTAGGGGTGACAGGGACCAAACGGACTGTAACAGACACGCGCGACAACGTTTATTTATCTATTTGAAAATGAATATGTTGCTTTTACAATATGCCATTGTTTTACAGGCCCTTAGTGCTTGTGATTGCTTTCAAAAAGACGCAAAGGGGAAATGATCATAAAAATGAAACAGCTAGTCCCAAATTTTCATGCGACACCTTACTAACACATACAATAATGCCCTAATGATTTCTTTTTTACTTTGCTTACCAGTAGGCCTATTTAATGAGATTTTAGGGGTTATACAGACGAACAGGCGTTTACATTTTTGTCAAAAATATATAATTTATTTAAGATGATTTAACACCATGCACAAAATGAATTGCAACGATAATTAAATAAGATACGACAATTACAAAGAATACGAAGACATTTTGATGGGGAAAACGCCACAACGTCAAAAACGTCGATAGATATAGCAATAATTGTTTCTTCCTTTCAAAACCAATAGATAAATATTTCACATTTTAAGGTCTTATATATAGCCATAAGAAGGTGTGGCTTCGGTGAATCACTAGAAAAGTCCTTTTTCACGAGTGCTAACATGCGCCTAGCTGAATAGCGTAAAAGTTTTATCAAGATGATGATGAATATTAAATTTTTTATCAAGATGATGGCGAATATTGGTCAGATGGTTTGATAATTCTAAAAACCAAATATAATACAGACATTTATGAAAAATAACTATACAGCTATCCAACTTTCGAAAGCGTCAAAAAATCCATAAATCAGCAAACTGAATCTCCAAATACCTACGTGGAGGCGGTTCACTGCACCGAAGTATTTTTGTCACCAGCAAAGCACGCACTCCGTGACACTTGGACCCCCCCCCCCTCCCCCTTCTGTCATTGGCACTTAATTGTTACGTTAAATGGAGCACCGTCGGGTAAATTGTCCTCTGATGAAGGCGTTATCTCAAATACGGACTATCCCCGGCACTTAACCCAAGCCGACAGTGAACATTAATGGATTGGAACACGATTTGCAGTGTCTAATGATAGTTCTGTCCGCTCTGCAACTGGTTGTCCATGGGTGCAATTAACTCGGCACACGCAAGCAGCGTGCATTAGCGACAATACGCCCCCGGGACAGTAACAATCGAGATTCTGTTTCAGCAACGCCGGCCTCCATCAAGGGACGCTGAAGCCAAAATAGTTGCGCTCATTACATATCGTTTAAGGCTTGTAAAACTAAGTGCAATTGCTGCCTGGCCACCGTTGAAGTGGACTTCTTGTTCATGAAATTGTACTCAAAGACACATTTGAAAGGAGTGCAACGGGTGCATCGTAACTTGTGGTGGAATTCACGTTGCAATCGGAATGTTCTTAATTATTGCAAGGCCGAGGGAATAAATTTTATGCCCTTATTTTATGTATGTTCGTTGTTTTTTGTCTTTGAGCTAGGAATTAAAGATATTATTAAGAATACATTTTGTTTTTAATCAGCTTTTATTTTTTTGCTTATTCTTCTGCTTAAGTCAAAATTTATTTATCTCTTAGACAGATTAATTCAAACGTTTTTAGTCAAGGCATATTTTAGGGCAAATAAAATAGTATGGAAGAATGGAATATTCTGTAAGCATCTTCTTTGTTCTTAAAACAATCTTTCCACTTAAAATTTCATTTATGTTAGCAAAAATTCATTTCGTAAAATATCTTTAATAATTTATTTGTACACATTACCAATTTATAATTTGATTAAAAGAAAAGTAAATAAAAATGCATTAAGAAAAAAATGATGCACCCCCAAATTAGCAGTTGATTCTCTTCTTTTAATGTATAATTACAAGGAATGATACCAAACCACGTTCTGTATTTCTGGAGGAAAGGGGGAAATGTGGAAGATGACGCTGAAAGATGCTGAATGATAATGGCAGTAGCGCAATCCAATGAATTAGTCAAACTGCTCGATGATTTTGACCAAACCCATTTTTTGCCTTCGTGGAGTTTTATTTCTTGTTCTTGCTTCCTATTATTAGATTGGTCGTAGAATTAGGAATGGAAACGAGCACATTAACTGGCGGCGTCCTCAACTGCATGTTTGTATGGCTCAATTGGGTAATATTATCTCCATCTAATAAAAGACTCGTCAGAAGAAAGGGCGATATCGCAGCATTTACTAGGAAACACTTCTGTATATCATTACTGAATAATAAATTGTCTAATTAATTAACCATAATTGAAACTTTATCATCCTCATCAACATTTTCTGTTTAAATAATTGGAAAACAAAGGTATTTGAAATTCAAAGTGCATCTTATGATAACAATCGCAAATACAGAGCGAAAAGGAGAATTAATAGAAATAAGCACAGAAAACTTTCTCTTTAACCTTGAGTCAGCATGAACATTGGGTTTTAAACAACGGAGACGCTTGCGTAATCATAGCTATCCAATTAATGACGTTGGAAGTTTTTAAGTTTTATGTATCAAAATAATGTGTTGCAATGCTGACTAGATAGGAGCGATATTTCTGCACAAAAACAATGTGCTGGAAGCTTTAAAAAATTAAGCTCTCTCTCTCTCTCTCTCTCTCTCTCTGTGTGTATTGTAAGTCAAATACATAAACGTACGCGAGCAGCATGCAGAGAGCATGTGCGTGCACGTAAAAGTGCGTACACCTGAGAGTGAGCCTTCAAGAATGCTTGTACTCGCGCATGTACACCGCTGTGCCAAAGAGACAGAATTGCCATTCAAGGAACAATTTTTCTGGATCCCTGGTACAAAACGCCACTACCGTGACCAACACCATCACGAGCAGCACCGCTAAACAATCCGCTCTTCAAATAACACTTAATTGCCAAACAGTCCCCATTAAACACAGGGACATGACAACGCAGTCGCGTGCCACGTAAAATGACACGCGGAACACCTGATTTTAATTGGCTTTAATCGCCCGTCGGCCAGATAACCGACGCGTCGGATCTGATGTATATTCTTTGGTAGAGCAGAGTGCGACCAGCCTTGATAACAAATTGAATCAATTGTAATGTGGTCAGGTAGATGAACTTGTCCAGCGTGGACACTCCTGGTGACAACGAAACACACGCCTATTACGGTCTTATTAGTCACTGGAATTGATGGCACGGGCAGGAGGATAAAACACAAAAAATTAGAAGAAAAGGGAATCATTCTTAGATTAAATACCTTTTTATTACATTCATTATTAGTTGAAGCAATGTTTCATGGTAGAATAAAGGGTTTTGTTGAAAATGCCTGCAAAGACAACATTATTTATACTGCTCTCCCAAGCAGAGGCGCACTGAAACATGTTTCATAAGATTCGCTTTTTTTTCTTTTATTTTCTTTTATTTTATTTATTTATTTATTTATTTATTTATTTATTTATTTTTTTTTTTTGAGAGGGGTGGTTGGAGGCAAAATATAGCGTCTTAAGTTTTTACCCCTTCACCTCCTTTGTTCTGTGCTTTCACCAGGAATAAAATAAAGTCACATTTATCTCTGTGTTTCATGATTTAGTGCGAGTATTTCTATGGAGAACAAAAGACAAATAAAAAGTATATAAAGAGAGAGATAAAGAAAATAACAAGTTATTATTACAAAGGTGTCAATCATGTGAGTTTAATCTTATTCCATGCACAGAAAAAAGCAAATCATTTTACAGAGTGCATGTTAAAGCTTTCTACAATTTCTTTTATTTGACGGCCACTAAACGTTCTTGTAAGACGTTGGTTTAAATCATTTTCACAAGCTCTTATCTGAAGGTGATACTATTTCATATCTAAATCTTCAAACCCAAATTTTGTGCGTTACCAAACTGTTTAATATAAAGACACCTTTCATTAAAATCCTAAGCAAACATTAAGTCTTGTTCCTATAGAGACAGCGTACTGGAGACAGCGTCTTCGAGGGCACATCTCGTCGACGAGGGTGATCCCAGTGTGACAGTATAATATTGCCATTGTCATCAGATTTGTTGCGGACGCCGTTTGTATTAAGGAAGGTGTATGAGGAGTCTTAATCAGATGACGAGCACGCGTATTGCGAATTTTAATAAGGCGCTGATCAGTATGCACCGACGCGTCTGCTGTGAGGCCCTCTCTTTCCGCGTGCCTAGATTCATAATTTCTAATTGTTTTGTTGATAATACTGTATAAATGATAAGGCACGGCTCCACGTCTGTTTACATACGCCACGAAATGCTTGACCAGGAGCGGTCCGAGTGTTCTGGTCCCAGTTTCACACACACACACACACACACACACACACACACACACACACACACACA